ATGATGGTGATGGTGATGATGATGGTGATGGTGGTGATGGTATGATTATGATGATGATGGTGATGATGGTGATGGTGGTAATGATGTTTGTGGTGGTGGTGATGGAGATGATGGTGATGGTGATGATGGTGATGATGATGATGGTGATGATGATGATGGTGATGGTGACGATGATTATTATGATGAGGGTGATGATGATGGTGATGATGGTGATGGTGACCATGATGATTATGATGAGGGTGATGATTACGGTGATGATGATGATGATGATGATGGTGATTTGATAATGATGGTAATGATGATGTTGGTGGTGATGGTGATGATGGTGATGATCATGATGGTGATGATGTCATTTGTGGTGATAATGATGGTGATGATGATGGTGGTGGTGGTATAGTGGTGATGCAGATAATGATGATGATTATATAATGGTGATGGTCGTGGTGATGACAGTGGTGATGATAATGATGGTGATGGTGATGATGACAATGTTGATTGTTATNTGATGGTGATGGTGATGATGATGGTGATGATGGTGATGGTGATGATGATGGTGATGATGGTGGTGGTGATGGTGATGGTGATGAATGTGATGATCATGATGGTGATGATGTCATTTGTGTTGATAATGATGGTGATGATGATGGTGGTGGTGGTATAGTGGTGATGCAGATAATGATGATGATGATATAATGGTGATGACAGTGGTGATGATAATGATGGTGATGGTGATGATGACAATGTTGATTGTTATCACTGTGTGATTAGCTGCCACCAGCTTTGAGGGGTCATTTAATGCAGTTGTTGAAGCCTCACCCCTGACCTTGGTGCTCTGTGCAGCAGAGGTGTAGATGTTGCTAGCCAAGAGTTGCTTGGGATGGAAAATCACCTGGCACAGGTTTCCAACAGCATTGGATTCCAGCCACACATGAGTGCTGGCAGAGGGTGACCGTCACATGGGTCAGAAGTTCACATGAGGTCAAGAGAGGAGGGCTCCCCATAGTGCAGCTCCATCTTCCTATGACAGCTCTCCTGCTGGTCATGTTCTGAATCTGCAGTCACAAAATCTCCCGGGAGAAAAACAGAAAGTCATTTCCTTAGAGCTCGTAAAGCAAGCTTGTAGGGAATTCAAGCCAACTGATTTCTGTTACTGAATACGCCCACTGTGGGAATGCCTGAGACCTGGGTGCTTGGCATACAGTTGGTGCTTAGTACAGGTTTACTGAACCTTTGTGTTCATTCTTAGACCTTGTGAGTTGGCACCTGGCTCCATGACTCCCCACTGCTCAGACAAATCTGGTGCTTTCCCCAGTTGCCCATGTTTGCATCTCTTGGAAGGCATACCACCCAGTAGAGAACGTGAAGCCCTACAGGGTCCCCATCATCATTTAGGGTTTGTTCCCATTCAATCGATCACGTGTTCGTGACATCCAGCAGCTCAAGGATACAATGGCT